TTTCACAGGTTTGACTTGATTTTAACCCAAACTTGTTTATGATAAACCTAAACCCGCTAACTTTGTGCAAGTTTCGAGTCATGTAGTCGTGTCTCTACTCAGATTGTCAACCCTACTTTCACCCTTATACTTACCTAGAAATTTTTTTTTAAATTATGACAGTATCTTAATAAGTAGGTCCACACCATTAGAATGGTCCTCCAAACATGCCTGTGGTTGGATATCATAATCAATAAAGATATTCTCAGTAGATATAGCACAAAGGATAAAAAAGCAAACATTGGACCTTTTCCCTCCCCACATTAATCTTTTATTACCTTTGAAAACGCTGTAAAATTATTTAGGGAACCAAAAAAAAAGCCACTATACATGTATCAAATTAAACTCTTCATCGACCAGCAAAAAAAAAAAAAAAAAAAAAGGAAGAAGAAAAAAACTCTTACTTCACTTTAACAGTGAATAAATATTAGCCAGTAATTAAGCAAAAAGTCGTTGAAGTCTTAGCTAGGGTGAAGACAAAAGAGTTATATATTAAAAAGATAAATAAATAAATCTATAATATTTTGTACAGGAGTACTTACGGTATAGAAGAAAATATCATGCCCCAATTCTTGCCATATTGGGCAAATAGTTCGTCCCCTAAAAACTACAGATCCGGAATGATCTGTGAAATAGTGAAGATCACAATGAAAGAAAAAGAGACCTATTCCTAGATGGGAAGTAATTGTTAGGGCTGTAAATTTCAACCACAGAATGAATTTAGTACACTACTAGGGCACAGAACTCAACCATAGGGAAAATTAATGAAAGCATTGTAGTAGTACTAATTGGGTGACCATGACTTTTTGGGGTGGTTTTTTTTTTTTTTTTTTTTTTTGGTAATATGCTCTCTCATTGTCACCCACTCCAAAATGTTGTTGTACATTCATCACCCCTATCCCTCATATATAGTTCAGTAGTTATCTACTCTTTGAAAGCAACATTGGTACAACCCCAGCAATGCTATATTGTTATCATGTGGTCCTTGTAATTATGTCAGTCTAAAGAAGTCATGCTCAGCTATGAGAGAGAGAGAGAGAGAGAGATAAAGACAAACAAAAGAGAGAGAGATATATATGGTGAGAAATATATAAATCATGAGTGTTGTAGAGGCTATGCAAATATTATATGGAAAGAAAGAAAATTGCTGATCAGAGAAAGGATAGGAAATAGGAGGTGAAGAAAGAGGGCTTTTAATTGTTTAGGACTATTACCATTTTCACACAAAGACTTGTGGGGTTTTTAGTTTTGTCGATTTGTGATTGGTTAGGGCTTTGGATGTCTTTCTATACGGCAGTGGCAAGTACAAGCATAGATAGGCAACTCTCTTTGACAATGAGAGAGAGAGAGAGAGAGAGAGAGAGAGAGAGAGAGAGAGAGAGAGAGAGAGACAGAGCATTTTGGCTCTAAAGAAAAGTTAAATAGATAAGCACGCATGGGAGTGAAACACAACAACATTCTAACATCGATGATAGATTAGACAATGAAAGAGAGAGAGAGAGAGAGAGAGGAGAGGAGAGAGAGAGAATTGGATGGTTTTCTCTTTTAAGAGACAGCGACTTTAGGAAGAAAAAAAAAGAGAAAAAAAAAAAAATAGCAAGACACACCCCAGTCAAAGGAGAGCGTTGTCATTGAGAGCAGGCCTCACAGTAATATGCTCCTTTTGTGAAATAATTGTCCTTGTCTCTAGGGTTGGAGAGCCACGTGTAGGTTCAAAAAAAGGCTCATGGCATCTCCTATGAAAGAAAAATTAAGAAGAATTCTTTCGGATTTTCTATTCGGTGCTAACCTAGTTAGAACTCGTCTTAGCATCAACTCTTTTTTTTTTCTCTTTATTTATAAAAATTAAAGAAAAAAATAAAACATACTTAACTAGTAAGACAAATTTTAATCGTTAATTTTTTTATTGAGTTCTATCAAATTATTAATATTTAACTTAATTTGACGTAATTTTACTACGTGCAGTATTTCATAATTGTATCTTACTAATAGAATATTTCTTTCATACACTACCACAATTAAAAAATAATAATTAAAAGTATTTAAAAAAAGAATGATTTCTCATTTGAATATACCCATTATAAACACATAGAAAAACTTAGAAAGATATTTACCTGACGCATAAACTCTGTCTATCTGAGAAGTGGTGTTTAATAACATGAAAAGAATTGAAGTCTAGGCAAAAAACTTTAAGTGAGGGATTTAAATCTGTTGTCTAATTTTGATGTCTTAATTAGTGTCTAACAAATTAAATCGTGTCACGTCATGTTAAAAATTTAAATTATTTTTTAACTTATTCTTTTGTGCTTATTATGAAATGATGTGGTATGATTTAATCGTTTTGACACCAATTAAAACACCAAAAATTAGACAACAAAATTGAATCCTTTCGTGAGTAGTACTGTACATTGAGAGAAAGAAAAAACTTTAATGTCTAGTTAAATTGGTTTCCTCAAAAATCTGTGGGGCATACAACGGGGAAGCATAAAACCGAAGTCAGTTTGTAATATATAGTTATTTATTATTTATTATTATTATTATGATAAAAAAGAAGCCATCTGATAATCACGTGAAGTGGTGGCACACAACACAAATACTATGTGGTTTCCTGTCCACTCACTATCCTCAACATTGGTTCTGAGTCTCACTCTCACACGACCAACTTTTTGAAAAAAGGTGTAGAAAAGATGGCTCTTTAGTTTGTCTGCAATAACTCCCCTCCCCTCCTCTTGTCCTTCTTTACCTCTATTAACCATACATCTTTATTATTATTATTATTATTATTATTATTATTATTATTATTATTATTATTGTCATTATTAATAATATTGTAATATAGTTTTTTGTGGGGTTTATTAAAAAAAAATATAGTTTTTATACGCAGGGTTCTTTCTATAAATACATACTCCTCTTCCTTCTCAAAACCCTCATACAAGAACCTTTGTGATCTCTCCACATTGCTCACCAGAATCTCCATTCTCTCTAGAGCTCCAAGGCCTCCTTCGATCAAGATCTAGGTAATCTTGTTACAATTTGTTTCTCTAGCTCCCTCATACAATATGACACACACACACATGATACATTTACGTACTTTATGATCACCATTAAGCTAGCAGATGTCTTTCTCAAGCTATATATACTGTAAAGAGCATCAACAGTAATACACATGGCTGTCTTTCTCATTGTCGCCCTAACCCATGATTTTTTTGTTGGTTTTTTTTTTTTTCATTTTTTTTTTTACAGTGAAAGAAAGAGAGCTGCTGTCCAGCTAGGTAGAAAAACAAAGAGAAAAAAGGAATGATGAATTGAAAAGGATGGAAGTCTAGCTAGTTGGTCCTTTCTCTCTCTGATCTCTCTCTCACATACAATATTATACCTCTACTATATATTAGTATACTATTAACAAAACTTGGTCAATCTTAAAGCCCCCTCTTACCGTCACCATGAGAAAGACTAGCTTTCTAGCTTAATATTTTTCAGTGTAATTTCAAGCCAACCAGCCAACAAATTACACACAAAAAAGGGAAAAAAAAATGTTCAACTTACCGCCAAACTCTTGGAATGTTAACAACAATGACCCCATTAACTCCTTTTCTCATGACCAATATTATTCTCATAATTTCCAAAAGCCTTTTCCGAACCAACAAGAATATCAATATAATTATACCCTCAATTCCAAACAAGAAGTGTCTCACCATCTTGATCATCCTCAATATCATTCTTGTACTGATCAGCCTTTGTCTTTCCCCAACGGTTACACATCTCCGTTTGAGGACCAAAACCTTTTGCCACAAAACAGTCATGGCATAAATGTTTCGCAGCAGTTCTACTACTCACAACCCTCCTTTGTGAAAGAATCGGCTGAGAAAACAAGTGATGTACTACTTCCATCTGAGACTTTTACTCCTACAATCACCGGCAGCAAATTAGTCAAGTTGGACTCGGATCGTTCGGGGGAAGATCTAAGCAAATCTGTTGCTCCTACTCACCAATATGATCAGCCGCAGATCCTAAGGAAGAGAAGCGGTGGCGGCTGCGGAGATAGTGGCAACAACAAGAGCAAGAAAAGGAAAGACCGCCATAGCAAGATTCACACCGGTACAACCCGACCGAGGCACCGGAGAATGAGGCTGTCCATCGACGTTGCTCGTGAGTTTTTCGATCTCCAAGAGCTCCTCGGATTCGAGAGGGCTAGCAAGACCGTGGAGTGGCTGCTCAGAAAGGCGAGATCAGAGATTAAGAAACTTAAGGACTCAAACAACGAAGGTGGCAGCAGTAGTACTTGTCCGGAGATGCAAACGTCTTCTCCGAATTCCGAAAGCTGTGAAGGGGCTTCGGGTTTGGACGAGGTGGGGATCAATGGAGAAGATCAAGGAGTTGCCGGTACTAGTAGCTCCAAGCCGCCTTTGGTAAAAGAGAGAAAGAAGTACAGCAGATCAAACTCGAAAAGGATTGCAATAAATCCGCTCGCAAAGGAGTTGAGGGAGAAAGCGAGGGAAAGGGCAAGGGAGAGGACACGAGAGAAAATGAGCAAAAGGGTCGAAAGGGTTGAGCCTGCGATACAAAATCATCGCGGCAGCAGCGGCGGGGGCGGTGGCGGTGGTTCGAGGACAAATATTGCAAATCATAACAAAGATCATGATGATCACGGCCTCAATATCAATCAACCTGCAAGCAACAAATCTGAGGAGAAACAACAAATGGGAGACCAATTACCAAACCAAAACATTGACATGAATAACAATATTGTTACTCCTAACTCCTCCCTTGGGGCTGTGATGCAGGTGTCTAGATATGATCAGCGTTATGAGTTTTCGCAGGAAATATTACCGATTTCGAATCCAAATGGCTGGAATATTGTCCAAGTATCAAATCATGATCATATTCTCCAAACAAGTACTACTAGTACTAGTACAACTGCACCTATTGTTGATTATGAGACATATTCTTATTTGGTGAATCATTTGGAGAAGTGGAACAATTCTTTGGTTGCTAATTCTGTGAGCAACTTTGGTACTACTTCTGGTGCTACTGGATTTGGAGTTCCCCAACAGGTAAGCTATATATTAACTCCACAACGCAAACTTTCCTGATATGATTTTTCTCTGGAAAAAAATATGCAAACAAATGAACTATCTACATGATTAATTGATGAGTAATATATGTACTTTTGTACTTGACAGCATCAGTTTAATCTTTCCAACTTTCAAGTCTTTGGCAACGGATTGGAGGGCTTCAACAACCCCCAAAATCTATGCTGATTACTTAGATTTATCTTGAGATCATGTGGTTTAATTGGTATGTTAATTAACTCATGAAGAAACAAATTAACTATGATGTTCACTGACCATTTTAATTTCTGTCATGGAAATGTAATATTGTAATGTAGGAACTGCTAATTATCTAGCTTCCTAGTACTCTTGTTTAGTTGTCTAGCATGACCTATAATTTAAATTATGGATTATGCACTCTTTCTACATGATGAATGATATTGTGTGTGCTTAATTATTCTGGTTTTGAAGATACAAGAGATGTGAATGGCATATTTTGTTAACTATGATTTGAGGTTTTAGAGGTACTGAATAATCCTAGCTATATATAATTATCTTGCAAGTTATTATATATATATATATATATATATTCTGATCATTTCCATGTAGTGGCTTTTCTATAGTATAGTAATCATATTCCCAAAAGATAAGAGGTGACAACTGAAAAATACATATACTAACTTGTTTCTTTGTACTTGAACTAATTGCATATTATTGAATGACCTTATTAGCTTATCTTTTTAGAAGGTGACTTATGAGTGGACACTTTAACGTTCCACTATCCACTTTCAAGCCATGTTTCTGAACTCCACTGACACCTCTAATAATCATGCATATATACAAAATTCGAACTAAATATATAGTTCTACTAAACACGAGAAATATAAAAACGAATGTTATTTATTCGAGTAGTTAAAAGATTCTGATTTAAATAACAAAAGACATATTGCAAAATGTGAAATGAGGTTCAAAACAACCTCAAGCTTTGATATCAAATTTAATATATAATTTAATAAAACAATAGGAAGAGTAAAGCTAATTAGAAATTCAGTTCAAGTTGCAGGACCACAAAAAATTCTATCTTTCTAAATGCATGGCTGAACAATATGATCTTAAGTATTTTTTATATTTTCCTATGCGTGAAAAGCCAATATATATATATATATATATATATTGACTTACAATAATAAGCAAGCATAAAGATTCCGTGTGGTGTGTATATATAGATATAGCGGTTAAGAAAGTTTGGAGCTTGACTCTAATCAGATGATATACAAGGAATGCTTTGATAATTAAAGAATAGTTGCGCTTTAAAATCTCTCTTTCTATGAAAGCAAAGTTTTATGTCAAGAGAATAATTTTATGTTGCTCTTTTGCAGAATTTCATGCAAGCTAGCTATATATTCAAGCATCATGGGAGAATTCAGCGAAAAAAAAGGTATTACCGGAGAAGAGTATATTTTTATGCATGCTTTCCTCATCTCAACAAATGAACAGAATTATGTACATAAGAAATATGCTGGGATTGGCTGTGGATGGAGGTTTCTAGAGTATATATAGTTTTACAAAAGACTTGCCTATATATATCAGCGGCTGTTTGTGGAGCAAAACTTGGTGATGACTGATCATATTGAATATCAAGCACTCTTCATCTTCGAAGGCAGTCTTGTCATAATTAGTATTTTAATTTCTTAGGTCGTTGAGTTTTATTTTTATTTATTTTTATTTTTCTTTCCTGTTTTCTTCCAAGGTATATTTATATGTATTCGGATGTTTCTTGTCACAATCCAGAACTTTTTTCAGTACGAAAATTGACACACTCACACGTTTATATTCATATATGAAGTAGTAGACTTCTAGTATATTCAATGGTACCATCAATATCATGGTAACATCCGAATGGTGCAATGGTAACGTGAGATTGAAATAATACTTCAAAAATTGTTGGGAAAAAAATACACCGTTACACTCACGCAACAGAAAAATAAATTGAAATAAAAATAACAAATAAATAAAGAAGACAAAGATTTAGATGGTTTGAAAAAATTTCTTATGTCCATGGACGGGAGAAAAAAATCCATTAACAGATGCAGAATTACACTCAACAAACTTTCTCACTTTCTCTCTCTACCCAAAACCCCTTATTCTTTCTCTCTTATTTTCTCTCAAAAGGAGACACTCTGTCTTCATACTTTTCTCTTAAAAGGAGACACTCTATCTCTATACTTTTCTTTGAGCACACATAAAACCTTATACAAAACACTTATTTATAAACTCCTAATGACGCTTGCCTAAAAAATAGAAAACAATAACTTACCTAAAAAATATAAAATATTAACTTTTCCAAACTAATTTGAGTCACATACCTAATAAAAATTTACATTCAAAATAAGTTTTATGATATTTTTCACAATGCAACATATATATAATAATCAATATTAGCTAGAGAAAGATGTATGACGTGCCATTAAGTGGGACGTGAACATTTGGAAGTAGAACATTTGGAAGTTTTGCTTAATTATTTTTGATGAAAGGATATGGTGATTAACATTTGAAACTTATCATGTGTTAATTATTTTATGTTGCAACTTATAAAGGTCAAGTCTAAGAATAACATTAAATATCTCTTTCTGATTGATAAGTATAGGGAAAACTAGCAGTAGTGCCAAAGGTCAAGTACATCAAAACATAAGGTGGAGACTTAAGGTGTTTTTTTGAGTGTAAATAACCAACAAATTACAAAAAACAATAAGAGCTCGTATTAATTCAGACCATATAATTTTATGAAAAATGATGATCACTATATAACACTTGTATAACCAACAAATAGGATAATTAGTTACATAAAAATATCGTTTAGTTATAAATTTTTCGCAATTGATTTGTCTTTTTTAGAAACTATGAAAGTATCTTTTAAATTTATGACCAAAAAAAAAAAAACAACAGAGTGAAATCATATAATTTAATTTATGTACGTTACTGATTAATACATAACAATAGTGGACTAGAACCTTCATCATGCCAAGATAAAAATACCCTTAAATAATGTTTGAAAAATATTTTAAACATTTTAAAAATATAATCCAAAGATAGAAAATAAAATTTCAAAAAAAAATCTCATATTTGGAATCGCATGTTGTTAATAAAAATTTTCATCATTTTTTCTCGAGACAAAAAAATTCAACGATAAATTCGGTCTAATTAAGGTTATATTTCTCTTTTACCGTGTTTTTCTGGTTGAGAGAGTGTGTAAGAGATGAAACTAAAACAAATTTTAAAATCCAAAGAATACTTTCATAGTTTCTAAAGGCATAGCGATAAATTGTTAAAAAAATTAAACTAGGAGGTACGTTTAAAAATTGATCCTATATATATATATAACACTTGATGAAGTTTGATTTAATTCATATCTAACGTCTTTCCTCACGACTTTACTTAAAGTTCATGCCTGGCTCTAGTAATCCTAGAATTTGAAAGTGTGCAAAGGAAAAAAATATATATTAATCATGCTTGCTCAGTTGTTTGGAACTGTTTCCCCTAGAAGACAACACTTTTACAGCTAAAATATCAATTTTTTTTAGTAATATATATATATATATATGTGTGTGTGTGTTTTATACTGAATAATTATTTAGATATCGAAATAAAGCATTTGATTTGAAGTACTCGCTCTTATAATCACGCGGAAGCAAATAAGTGCTTAATGTATATGTCAATATATATATAGAGGTGGATTCTACCAATCAAGCAATCAACTATAAAAGGAAAAAAAAAAGAACAAAGAAAACCAATCAAGAATTCAATATTGTATGCTTGGTTGAATATTAAATGCTCGATTTTCATATATTTTGTATGTACGTATATCTTATCTTAAAGAGTAAAGTGTAAGCATCCTAATCAAGCATCAGAAAGTTATGGTACAACTGACTTTTCATATCGCAGTTTCAACAATTTTATCTAAATACGTATCACGAGTTATAACGGCGAATGGCATATGATTGTGCAAAAGTTGCGCCCACCATCATTTTATTTTATTTTATCTTTGCTAGCCACGTAATCTTAAAGGCGATTGGTTGCTTGTCACTTTGTGGTTTGGTAATTTCACTGTGTATAGACATTGTACACATTGTAAATATATGCATATATACACACATATATATTCATATAGATAGACAATGCTTGTACATTTCCATATTTAGATCTCATTGTATTGTAATTTGTATGTAATACATTTAGCACGTTTGGTGAAGTAACCAATTGTACCCTTCAAGCCAAAAAAAAAAAAAAAAAAAAAAAAAAAAAAAGTAACCATGTTTGATATCTTTCATCTCCGGTTATCAAAAAGTGGTCATGAGTTAGCATTGTCACGTGGAGTTGAAGTGATAGCAATGATAAATATAGTTGTTATATACATTATTGAATATTACTTCACTGTAGAATTTCAGGCCTTTCTCAAATTTTGAAAAATAGAAGAATAATAAAGAGAAAAATGATGATCACTATGTTAGGGTAAAGGGTTTGAAGAGAACTTTTGGTTTAAATTTATTTTAATCTTTGTTCTTGAATTTTTATATGAGATACAACATTGCAGCAAAAAGAGTTTGAATACATAATCCAAACACCATAAATCATTCAAACTCATAAGTCGAACATAGCGTGCAAATACATAAGAACTGCACTGTATTAACAAATAGAGGGAAACTATTTTTTTTTTCTTTTCTAGAAAAGAGTTCATATACATGTATATCCACTATCCAATAAAAATTTAGGAAATATTATAGCTTTATATGGAAGAATCACAATATAGTAGAAATAAAGATGCATCGAAAGACCAAATGAAATGAAAAAAAAAAGGATCATATATGCGCACATAGGCATGAAAGAAAATAAGAAAAATTCCAAGAACACAAAATTAGAAACCCAATATTATTAATATTTAATATAATGTATAAAAAGACAATGCACGCATTTCTTTTTATATATCTTCCTTATATTGTGAAGCAAATCTCCTAAAAAGAGGGAAGATGTAGATTATATGATGCAACCTTTCAGGGAAAAGGTTCAAAAAAAAAAAAAGAGATAAACGACAAGACAAAGTATAAGGAGAGAATAAGAAACAAAAACATTTAAGGTGATGTAAAAGGAGATAACAGACAAAAGGCAATGTAAAAGGAGAGAAGAAACAAAAACATTAAGATGTAAGTTCTAACACAATGAGACTTCCTTAAAGAAAACATAATGAGAAAGTCTAAGTCCCCGTTTAGTTTGTTGGTTTTAATTTTGTTGATTTGAACTTTTTTTATTTAAATAGAAAAATTCAAACTATGCGTTTAAATTGTAGTTTGAATTGACGTTTGGATGTGCAGTTAAAATTTTAATATGAATATATAATAAAATTTAAATTTGTGTTTGGTAAGTGTGAAAAATAGAGAGAGTAGACACCTTTTTACTGTTAAAACAATGATTTAAACGGTTGAACTTTAGGGGGGGTTAAACTCTAAGTAGTACAATTTAACTTAGATCAAACAGAGAATATAATTCAGAGTAAATGCTTACTAAATACGAATTCAAACTATGCTGAATTGAATTAAATTAGTAAAACAAACAGAAGCTAAAAAAAACTGAATTTGAATCACTTTCTATAAAATAAATAAATAAATAAAAGAAACTGTATTTTATTAATGTATAAAAATATCCCAGAAAAAGCATGCTTTATTTATTTTAACTGTGAAACGGGTTCTTTTTTAGGGCGGAAATGAAAAAGGGCTCTTTTTTTTTTTGGTAAAAAAGGAAATGAAAAGGGCTCTTAAAGCTTGCTTAATGTTGTTGTTGTTGTTGTTATTAAAATGTTAATAATAATGTATGAAATTCGTCAAAATGGAAATAGCTCATAGGTCATAGACGCATAACAGTTTCCACATAATAGTACAAGCTGAGAAGACCATATGCATTAATTTGACAATCTTTATTTTTTTTTTTCTCCTCTTTTGTTGCTAAATATGCATTTGACAATCTAGATTTAAGAACCAACCATGAGACAATCAATGACCATTGACAAAGGACTTGACCTGTTCCTCCAATAAATTACAAGAAAGAGCACCTATTAAAATAGCTCCCCTCAACACTTGCTTGTACTAAAATTAGAAAAGAAAAATCCATAGCAAATGTTCCTTCTAAAACCCTCAGTAAAATGTTGCATGTGTAAAACCAAAAACAAATATACTTTTAACTTATTTTCTCCACCTCCTAATTGTATATCATATTGTAGTCCATAATCAATCATTAACAAGAAAATTAGTTCCAGGAAAACTTATCAGAAAAAGTTTCTTGTACTTGCTTTGCGGTAGGAAAAGAAAATCAGTTATTAGCAAGAATATTTATATCTGAGTCTCTTTTCTTTACCTCCCCCCTAATGACTAACGAGTTTGTTTATTTTAGCCTCAATTTGTGAGTAGGGAAGCTACTTAGATTTTGTGCACTGATTTTGATGGTGTTTAACTTGTCATATTCCCCTTTTTCTATTATTTTCTTTGTTTTTCCCCTTTAATTAAAGAAAAGCAATATGATTTATATCCATCAAACTTCACTGTAATTTTTCCCCATCTAAAAAAACAGGGTAACACGCATATAATTTCATGAGAACAACGTATGTATATTGATTGACAAAAAAAAAAAAGAA